CAGCTAAGTACCTTACTTCATAACTAAGGCCAGTGCCAAGAGCTCTCCCTCCTTCCTTCTTCCTCACCTCACATCATCCAGGTGCCTTCTGCCAATATGTCCTTCACCCTTGTCTCACATGAAGAACTGGCCCTTCTCTTTGCCAAGACTAACCCCCTCTCCATGCCCAAGTGATCCCATTCCATTCTATCTTCTCCAGAAGATTGTTCCCTCTATCATCCTCATTCTTTCACTTATCTTCAATCTCTTCCTGTCTATTGGTACTTCCCTAATGTCTATAAACATGTCCATTTTCCCTCTATCCTCAAAAAAATCTCATTTAATCCATCTATCTCCCCCTAGCTATTCTCCCATAGTTTTCTTCCATTTTGTGGCTAAACCTTTCGAGAAGGACATCTACAACTGACGCCTCCACTTCTTTTCCTCTCACTCTTAATTCTCCACAATCTGGCATCTGACCTCATCTTTCAGTTAAAATGGCTCTTCCCAAAGTTACCAACTGTTCTCTAAATTAACAAATCTAATGGTCTTTTCCAACGGCCTTATCCTTCTTGACCTTTCCACAGCCTTTGCTACACTCAATCACCCTTTTCTTCATACTCACTCCTCTCTAGATTTCTGTGATAATATTCTGGTCCTCCTCCTACTTGTTTGACCGTTCTTCCTCAGTCTCCTTTGCTGAATCTTTATGCAGGTCACACCTGCTAAAAGGGGGTATCCCCTTAAGCTCTATCCTCTTCTCTCCTCTTTTTTCCCTCTATACTATTTCACTTGGTAAACTTACCATTTCTCTTAGATTCGATTTTCAACTCCATGCAGGTGATTTTTTGGTTTATTTATACAGTTCCAATCTCTCTCCTAACCTCCAGATTACCAGTTCCAATTGCCTATTGGACATCTCAAACTGGATGTCCTAAAGACAAGTTCCAATTTAACATATCCAAAACTTAACTCATCATCTTCCCCTCCCGAGCCCTCTCCTCTTCCTAACTTCCCTCTTAATATTGAGGTCACCATCATCCTCCCAATCATCAAGACTCACAAACTAGGTGTCATCCCTGACTCTTTACTCTCTCACCACTACCTTCCATATCCAATACGTTGCCAAGTCCTGTCGATTTTACATCTGTAACATCTCTTGAATACTCTCCCTATTCTCCTCTGATACTGCCACAACCCTTCTACAGGCCCTCATCAACTCATGACTAGATTACTACAAAAGCCTGCTGGTTGGTCTCTCCAACTCAAGATTCTCTCCCCACTGTGGTCAATTCAGCTGTGAAACTGATCTTCCTAAATTTCTTTTCTTTTTTTTTTGGTGAGGTAATGGGGTGAAGTGACTTGCCCAGGGTCACACAGCTAGTAAGTATCAAGTGTCTGAGATTAGATTTGAACTCAGGTCTTTCTGAATCCAGGGCTGGTGCTCTATCCACTGCGCCATCTAGCTGCCCTGATCTTCCTAAATTTCTAAAGGGCAGGTCTCTCACAAACCCCTACTTAATAAATTCCAGGGGGATCCCTATCACCTCCAGGATCAAATATAAAATCCTCTGTTTGGCAAAGTCCTTTATAACCTTTTCAGTTTCCTTACACCTCACTTACCACCCTCCTTCCTTCCCAAGTGCTCTCTGATCCAGTGACATGGCCCTCCTTACTGATCTTAGAAGAAACCTTTATCTCCTGACTGAGCATTTTCACTGGCTGGCCCTCATATTTGGAATTCTTTTCCTCCTCCTCCTCTCTCTCTCTCTCTCCCTCCAGGTTTCCCTCAAGACCCAGCTAAAATTCCAAGTTCTATAGGAAGCCTTTCCCAACACCCCTTAATGCAAGCGCCTGTGCTCTGTTGATAATCTCCAATTTTTTTTGTATATCTCATTTGTACATAGTTGTTTTCATGTTATCTCCCCCATTAGACTGAACTCCCTGAGAGCAAGAGTTGTCTTTTGCCTTTCGCCTTTTTTTGTATCCCCACTGTTTAGCACTGCACCTGGTATATATTAAGTATATGTTGAATAAAGGCTTGTTGACTTGAATTGACCTAATACCTCCTCCCTGAATGGACCTCTTAAAGGCATTGTGTTTTGCATCTCTCTAATGTCTTTATACAATAATGTATATTAGTTACCTGTGTTTGCGGCTTATCCCCCCCCCCCCCCCCCGACAGTAGGCTCCATGAAGGCAGAGGCTATAGCTCATCTCAACTTTTAATCCCCCCCAGCACCTACAGAGAATGGCGGGTGCTTAGGAAATGTTCATTGATTGAATTAATCCTATTTACAGCATTTCCATTAACTCTCAGAAATAAGCCCATCCTTGACAAAAACCTTTCACCCCTAAATTCTTCTCATTCATTCAAAGTGGCATCATAAAAGGAGGCAGGGTTAAGTATAGTATCCTGTGTACAGGACATACATCTGGCATCTTGGAGACCAAGATTGCAAAAGAAAAAAAAAAGCATGATACAATTTGGGAAAGAGCCAATTGTATCACAAGAATGGAAGTCACAAGACAAAGCAAAAAGTTATGATGCAAAAGGGCCTAGAAAGTCAGTTCACAATTGTTAAGAATTACTTCTGAGCTATCACACTGTGGGAAAAAAAAAAGGGAAAGAGAACAGACAATGATTAGGGCAATAAATAAATTAGGGCTATGCAGGGAGCATAGCAAAATGTAGGCAAGTTAGTTATGCTGTCTATCTTGGACAAAGACCATTGCTATTGGGGACCCAAGAAGAATGTCTCAGGGTCCTAAGAAAGTAGATAAACTAAATTACTGTCTATTCCTATAATTATTAATTCCTCTTGGAATTATGCAGTAGTTAAAAATAAAATAAACAGGAATTTGTGGACTGGCCTGGCAGTCTGGTAGAAAGAAAGAAAGAGGATGTTAGCTTTAGATAATGGACTAAGCCAGGGGTGAAGAACCTGAAGGCTTGAGGCCACATGTGGCCCTGGACTAAGCTCTAGAAAGTTTTGGAACTAATCCTACCCCCCTTCACATTACCATTCTCAATGTAAAGGTGCCCAGGGTCCAGATGCCCTCCTGAATGACTGCTCTAATCTCAGATTCCTCATTCTTTAGAGCCTTACTACTCTAGCAAAATTCTTGAAACCAGTGCTATACTGGCTTACTTGCTGTTCCTCAAACACAGCATTGCATCTCCCATCTCTGAGACTGCATTGGCTGTCTTCCATGCCTAGAATGCTCTCTCTCTCTCTCCCCACACATTTTCATCTCTTAGTTTTCCTGACTTTCAATATTCTGCTCAAATCCCACCTTCTTCAGGAGCACTTTCCCAGTTCTTCCCAGTTGCCCACCAAACTTACCTATTATAGGGACAGCTAGCTGGTGCAGTGGATAGAGCTCTGGCCTTGAAGTCAGGAGGACATAAGTTCAAATCCAGTCTCAGATACATGACACTTACTAGCTGTGTGACCCTGGGCAAGTCACTTAACCCCGATTGCCTCATCAAAAAAAGCAAAAAAAACTTACCTATTATAGTTGAGAGTACCACCATCCTCCTATCACCCAGCTTGAAATTTACATGCTCAACCCTCACTCTCTTTCCCCTTCAAGTCCAATCAGTTGCCAATTCCTCTTTATTCTGACTACATGCATTTTTTTCTTGCTGCACCCCATGCCTAGGACGTTCTCCCTCTTCATCTCCATTTCCTGGCTTCCCTAAAGTCTCAACTCAAAACTCCACCTCTTCAGCAAGAAGTATTTCCAGGCCCCCCTCAATACTAGCACCTGCCCCTCCAGAGCATTTCCTAATTACCTTTTATATTATCTTGTAAATAGTTACTTAGAATATTAGAATGTGAGCTCCTTAGATGGGGATGACAGAGACTACCATAGTTCTTTGTCTCCTCATTGCTTAGCACGTCTGCCACAAAGTAAGTGTTTAATAAATTCCTGCTGACTTACTAAATATTCCTTTCCCGTGGACCTTGGGCCTCTTTCCTTAACAAGCAATATGGTGAAAAGAACATAAGACGCTGTGTCCAGAGAGACTCAATTCTTAGACTTAACACTGTAGGACCCTGGGCAAGTAATTTAGCCTCTCTTTCCTCACCTGTAAAACAGAGATAATAATACTTTCAGGACTGTCGTGAGGAAAACACTATATAAAGCTGAAAGCCCTAAGAACCACATAACCAAATCCTCCCCTTTCATCTCTCAATATCTTTTCAATCCACTTAAGTCCTTGCCTTTCTACATCACTATAACCACCATCACCCACAAGCACTACCATTTTCATCTCAAAGCCCTACCCCCTGTACCCCATTATGGACCCTATTTTGCTCCCTGCCTCCTGACATCAGTACCACCACCCCTCTTCTCAGAACCCCTTCCCCTGGAGTCATCAGCACCAGAACCACGAAGACCCCTCCCCAGGCCCCCTCAACAACAGGTTTAGCACCATTCTCTCTTCTCTCCCCATCCAGCAGCAGCAGCACCATCACCGTCCTTTCCCCAGGACCCCCCAACATCATTAGCCATACCCAGCCTCCTGCCCTTGGGTCCCCCAATCCTAGACACCACCTCCCCGTCCAGCAGCAGCACCACCACTGTCCTCTCCCCAGGAGCCGCCCCCATGCCACGAGCACTCTCCCCACCTTTGCCATCCTTAGGTCCTCCTAACACCGGACTACCTCAGGAACAGCAGCGCTCTCCCTCCCTCTCCGGATCTTCGTCCCCGACCCCATTGCTCCCGGTTTTGCTGCAGCGGCGGTGGCGGCGGCAGCATCCCCCCTGTCTCCCCGGGACCCCTCACGCCACCATCAGCACCCCCTTCCCGCCCTGGCAGCATCGCTCCTTCGCCGACGCCCCCTCCCTCCTGCTCCTCCTCGGGCCCCCTTGCTCCCCCAGGCCTCCTTCCCTCCCGGCCCCATCCTCTGCCCTCCCGGGTGGCGGCCGCAGCAGCAGGAGCAGCCCGGCCCCTTCCGTCCCGCCCCCCTCAGGCCTCAGGCCCCGGCCCCGGCCCCGGCCCCCGGTACCTGCTCTCTCGTCCCCGCTGCGAGACGAGGAGGCCGAGAGCCCATCACCCCAAGCCCTCGGGAGAGCCATGCCCCGGGGCCCCGGCTCCTCCCCGCGCCCGTGGTGGTTGCCAGGGCTGGAGCAATGGTGGCGGTGGCGGCGGCGGCGGCGGCAGCTACAGCTCAGCCGGCCCGTCCGCTCCTCGGCGAGCTCCGCCCCTACCACGTCACCGCGACCTCGCGCCGCCTGCACGTGACCGCGCCGGCACTAAACAAATCACGAACGAGCGGGATAAGTTAATGAGGAAGGGAACACACGCCCCCTGGGGGTCGCCATGACAACCGCTCGGGCTCTGGGTCTTTCAGGGAAGGGCTAGGGTTGACCCAGGGTGCACAGCGGCAGGGAGGCGGAGGCTTTAGGCTAGACCAAGCCAGGACTTACCCATCCTGGCCAGTAGTATCAGAAAGGGTAGGGCCTGGGCTAAAAAGCCCATTCTACAGATATGGAAACTGAGGCCCAGAGTGGCAAAGAGACATTTTGTTTCCTGGCTCCTGCCCCGGAACTCCTTCCATCACATCACAAAGTTTTGGGAACACAGGCTGTCCCCCTCTGAATGGGCACTTTTTTGAGGGCAGGAGGTGACCAGGTATATTAAAGCCTTAGACTGGGAATAGAGGAGTCCTTCCTTCTGCTGTTTACTAGTTGTGTGACTTTGGACACACTCTCTGGGCCTCAGTTTCCTCCCTTGTAAAATGAGGAGTCTCTTTAGGTCTGTTCTGACTTAGGCAATTTGAAAATTTATCTAACCCATCCTCCTCTTCCCTTTACAGGTGGGGGTAGGGGTGGGGAATAAGGAAACAGGTCCAGAGAGGGGCAGAGACTTAGGCAAGGTTGTGTTAGTGGGCAGAGTTGAGGACTAGAATCCAGGTCTCCTCAGTCACAGCGAAGTACTCTCCACCGTGTCAGACTGCTTCCCACTGGTAGTGTGGGTACTGCTTTGGCCTTGGATCACCCACTTCACTCTGGAATCTCCTCATTTGGAAACTGAGTCAGAACCTCGGAATTGGGAGAGACCTTAGATAACAACCTCTGCAACTTCTGTTACTTTGGGAAAGGGATTTCCTCTCGGGGCCTCAATTTTACTTATGAGGACCTTTCCAGTTCTAAAGCTATCATGATCATATCCCCTAATCCAATCCCTTCGAGACCAAACAGCACGTCCTCCATCTGCCCAATTTCTAGGCCTAGCAATGAACTAGGCATGCTCAGTAATGTCAGCTGCACAGCCAACTAGGGGAATTCCATCCAGGAATTTCCTACTCTTCTCTCTCTGGAATGAATCCTTCTTTGCTTCAATAGAAAGCTGTACATGCAAAAGAAGGGGTTTTATTAGAGGATCTCTCCACCCCCCACCCAGCCTTGCAAGTGCACATAGCCCAGGGCAGACAGGTTGTTAGGTAAGCTCTGACCGGCTATTGCAAGCCCTGGCCAGGACCCTAAGAAAAAAGCAAGGGTTGGAGCTGGAGAGGGGGCATTAGGCATCTAATGATAGAATCTTAGAGCTGGAAGAAACCTCTTAGGCCACTTGATCCTACTTCCCACCACACACAGGAATCCCTTCTATTCCTCCCTGACAGTTCATCCAAATTCTCTACTTGGACAATTACTGTGATGAGGAGTTTATTCCTTATGGGTTCATTCCATTCTATTGTGCTACAGTTCTCATTGTTGTTAGGCAGTTTCTCCTTACTTCAAACAGAAATTCTCTCTGCATCCAATGCCATTACTTTTAATTTTGTCAAAGTGTCAAACTAGACTAATCTTCCTTCCACATGACAGTCTTTCATGTTATGCTCCCTCCTAAGTAATTTCTTAGTTAAATATCCCCATTTCTTTTTTTTAACAATACTTTATTTCCCCCAAGTATATATAAAAACAATTTTTAACATTTGTTTTTAAATTTTGAGTTCCAAGTCCTCTCCGTCCTCCCTTCCACTCCCCCCTCTCTCTGAGACGTTAACAATTTGAAATGGTTACCTATGTGCAATCATCCAAAACAAAGTATTCCCATTTCTGTCAACCCATCCTTATATGGCATTGCCCTCTTACCATGTTCACTGCTATTCTCTGCACCTTAGGGAAATCAATATATCATAAAATATGACTCCCAGAGCTGGACACATTGGATCTCAGATTAGTTTTGACCAGGGAAAAAAACAGCAATGATATAATAAAAATCCATTTCTAGAAAGAGTTGAGAGATAGTACCAACACTCTTTTGAGGGGAGATAACATAATCCAGTGGAAAGAATACTAGATTTGGAACCCAAAACCATATGATTCTACGTTCTAATATTCTGTTTCTAATTTCTTTTCCAGTTCTAACATTCTATGTTCCAGGTCTGACAGTCTGTGTTCTAAAGCTAGGCTAATCTAATTTTTATGTTCTTTGATGCTAGGAGTCAAGTGCTTTAGTGTGAACAAAAAGATTAAGTCCCGGTTTTAAAATAATATCTTCCTCTCCATGTGGATAGGAAACTTCCTTTGGACCTTCTGGACCTTCCTTTGAAGTTGCAAGTTCCATCATAGGCATCAGCATACCCTCGTGCCAGTAAGTCCATCAGAAAAGGTGCTATAAATCTGCCAGGTGGGGGTGCTGTGTGAAAAGATACAAAGATCTCAATAAAAAAGACTGACTGGTCCAAACTGAGGCAAATCAAAACGTATAATAAAACCCTGGAGTTAATGAACCCCAGTGGTCCTTTTGCAGTATATTCAGAGAAGGGATATTAGAACATGCTGTGGAAAGAGCCTTGAATTAGGAAATAGAAGAATTTAAAATTGTAGTCCCTGTTCTGCCACTGACTCATTAAATGACTGACCCACCATGAGTTAGTGTCAGTCAGGACTTGAACCTTGGTCTCTGGATTTCTAATAATGCAAATCTTAAGTGATAACATAAATAGCTAGCTATAAAGCACAGCTCCCATTCCTCTAATGCTTTATAGATTGCAAAGAGCTTAACTTAACACTATTGAATTTGGTCCTCATCACACCCCTATGAGGTAGTTAGTGAAGGTGCCTCCATTTTACAAATGGAGAAACGGAGGCTAAGAGAGAAGGGGATTTACCAGTGTCACAAAGCTATGAATTTGTGAAGCAGAGACTAGACAGAAGCCAGGTTTTCTGTTTATCATACCAGTGCGTGTTCCCTTTTGCCCCATTTCTGTTCTAAGAAGTATTTCAATACACCAAAGTTTGGTCCCCTTTTGCCACACTATTCATGACAGCCCCACATATTATACAAACAACCATGATTTGCAAGACTAGATCAGAAAACAGTACACCAAGTCTCTTTTATTTTTAAAGAGGAATCATAAAAACTGTGTCAGAGGAAGGTGATGCAACAGTGGAACAAATTCAGAAATACCAAATCCCCTCAGGAAAGCACTCCATGAAATCAGTTACCTCTCTCTTCTACTAATTCTCTCTGGGGAATTTGTCTTGTGTGGTATAATAGAAAGAGCAATGAATTTCAAGTTTCAACACCAGGGCTCCACCTCTAGTATTTACCAACTGTGGGACCTTGCAAAAATCCTTTAACCTTTCTTATACTCAATGTTCTCTTCTGTAAAAAAGAGGACCCACAAATCTGGGTGACTTCCAAGGTCCCTTCCAGGACTCCAAGATCAGCTTCTGTCTGTCTCTCCGTACATGCAATCTGTTACAATGATATAATCTCTAGGGTCCCTTCCAGTCTTCATTCTGGTCCCAGTTCTACCACTTAACAAGTTGCTGGCTTCCTTCCCCTCTCTAGGCGTCACCTGTCTGTAAGATGAAGACCTGTCTGACTTCTCAGGACTTTTGAGAACATCAGACAAGTTAACATTTGTGAAGTGATTCATAAATTGAAAAGCCCCATACAAATGTAACGTAGTATTTATTATTTGGTCACATTGGAGAAACAGTGTGGTGTAGTGGTAAGACCTAGAGCCAGGAGAAACCTAGCTTTGAATTCCGGCTCTCATACTTACAAGTTGGGTAACCCTGGGCAAATCACTTTAATCTCTCAACCTCAGTCTCCTCATCTATAAAATGGGGATGATAATGATACTAGTAATTTACAGGGTTATTGTGGGGAAAGAACTTTTTTGCAAACCTGAAAACACTATACAAATTTGAGTATTATTATGAAGCAAGTGTTTTGTAAGCATTAAAGCCCACCAACAATTTGAGTTATTATCATTAGTGTTATTTTCTCCTAATAGGAAATAACTCCCAATTGGTTGATCGAATAGTGATCAGACAGATCTAGAAAGAACTTGAATATATTTGGACAAATATTTTAAATAACTGAATTCAAATTAAAAGGGAGCTAGGTTGGTAGACAGGAAACCCAGGAACTCATAGGACACTTGTTTAGTCATTCAATTGTGTCCAACATTTTGTGACCCCTTGTGGGGTTTTCTTGGCAAAGATACTGGTGTGGTTTGTAACTTCCTTCTCCAGTGGATTAAGACAAACAGAAGTGAAGGGTCACACAGCTAGTAAGTATCTGAGGCTGGATTTGAACTCAGCTCTTCCTAACTCCAGGCTTAGGGCTCTACCCACTGAACCACCCAGCTGCCTCACAGGACACTTTGTTGTTTAGTTGTTTTTTAGTCATGTCCAACTCTTCATGACTCATTGGGATTTTTTTTGGCAAAGATACTGGATTGGTTTGCTATTTCTTTCTCTAGCTCATTTTACAGATGAGGAAACTGAGGCAAACAGGGTTAAGTGACTTGTACAGGGTCACAGAGCTAATAAGTGTCTGAGGCCGAATTTGAACTCAGATGAATCTTTCTGATTCCAAGTCCAGCACTCTATCCACTTTGACAACTAGCTGCCCTCATGGAATACTTATTCAACTATCAAAAAGAAAGTGAGGATACACTGAGTTTTGTAGGGTTGGATCCAGAATACAAGACTACCATGCAATACCTATGATAGTTGTTCAACTTGGGAAGTAGCCTTAGTTCCTAGAATCATGGTAAAAAGTGTTTGGGAGTTCTTTCAAGTTTCAATGGAACAGCCTAACTGGGATTTACAAGTAACTTGGGCAAATTTATTGCTAGAGGGACTCCTGCTTAGACTCTG